GGGGGTGCATGGCACCTCTGTCCAGCATCCCGCCCAGCTCATTGATGTCTTTCTTTGCCAAGAGCTGAGCGGGATGCCGTCCAGAGTGACGCAAGTTGCTAAGAGCTCTTAACAACCTGCGACACTCTGGCCGGAAGTGTGCCTGTCGCCTCCCTACCCCCACATGACCCAATGAGATGCCGCCAGAGGCAACTGTCTCATTATAGGGATGGCCCCTAGTGAGGGCCTACAATTCTAGATACTTACTCACTTTTACCTCTAATGAAAATAGTTACTAGGGCAAATAGAGAGGATGAATATAGAGGCACAGACAGCAATAAAAACTTGGAAAATAATTGAAAAAAGTAAGCTTTAGATACACTTTAATAAAGTACATTGTTTTGTTGTGTAAGATAACATTTTTATCACTTGTACCCATGTAATAAATAAAAGACAGTAAATAGACATTCCCAAAAGAGAAGAGGGCTAAGACATGCAAGGAGGGAGGGACATGCACTAGGGCAGGGGTGCCCACAATTTTTGTGTTAAGATCTACTTTTCAAAAGTTGAGCTACATGAGATCTACCAGCGAAAACAAAAACTCCCTCGCTCTCTCTCCTGGCTGTCTCTCCTCGCTCTCCTGGCTGTCTCTCCTCGCTCTCCTGGCTGTCTCTCCTTGATCATCCTCCTGTCTGTCTCTCCTTTCTCTCCTAGCTGTCTTTCCTCATTTTTTCTCCTGGCTGTCTCTCCTCTCTCTCCCCTGGCTATCTCTCCTTGCTATCTCTCCTTGCTATCTCTCTCCTGTCTGTCTTTCCTCTCTCCTGTCTGTCTCTCCTTGCTCTCTCTCCTGGCTCACCTTGCTGTATTTTGCAACAGTCTGTGTAAACTAATATTCTTTGATGTAATACATAGCACTTCAACCACCAGTATCCACCAGAAAGGTGTCAGGGAGTTTGGTTCAGCAGACTCAGGCTAATAGGTAATCATGTGTGCACAGCTAAATAAATATACCAAAATGGAATAAAGGGGCCACCATTCACACCCTTCCTGATCTACCACCATCAGCTTTGAGAGCTACTGGTAGATCACGATCTACCTAATGGGCAACCCCTGCACTAGGGTTTTTACTCTTCCTGGTGTAGTCAAATGTTTCAGTAAGTTCAAGGGCACATTGCAAGTAAATAAAAAATAATTTATAGAAAGGAAAAGCAATACAAATACACATTTAAAATACTTGATTTTTATGTGCTGGTTGGTGATAAGACCTCTTAAAAGAAACAATTTCATCTTGCATTGATTTGCATGCGGCAAGGGGACAATAAAGATAAACGACCTCTACTGACCCTGCAGTTAGCACTGCTTCTTACTCTGCTATGCGTAAGGTGTGACACATGACAAATATATTTATGTAGAAATTATAGAACATTTTATTTTTTTTCTTACTGAAAGAAAACTATAGGAAAAACAACAATCGCAGAAAGAATATGTGATCTGTTCCTTGGATTTTAATATTTGACAGTGGTATATAAAGTTTCATTAATAACACATGCAGTGCCCCCAACAGGCTAATAGAATATATCAAGCTTTTTTCATTGCTTAAAGGAGAACTATGGGGTCAGTGTTTTTCCCCATAGTTCTCCTTGGGGTAACGGGAGGACACAAACTAGCGTCCTCCCGTTACCCTAAGCTCAGTATACCGCGAGCTACAGCTCGCGGTATACTGAGACGCCGCACCTGGAGAGGATCCCGACGTAGATGACGGGATCCGCCCAGCTGCGCGAGTGACAGCTGGCTCTGCCTATCTAGAGGCAGAGCCAGCTGTACCCGCCCCCTCCCCCGTCCGTTCCGCCAGTCAGCGCTGGCAGATTGGAGCGGGGAATCCAGCCCCTCCCCCTGTCACGGCAGAGAGCCGTGACAGGATCGAGAGGTGAGGGAACCCGGTATGTGTTCCCTCACCTCCCGATCTACTGAGCCAACCTGTGACAGTCTCATTGTCACAGGTCGGCTTAGAACTATGAGGTGAGTGGAAATCACTCATCTCATAGTTCTCCTTTAAGCTTAGTCATGAGCTAGGCAGAGGTCATAACACTGAAAATACACACATTATTATATTATTTCCTGCTGGAAAACAGAGTAGTGTTAAGTGTTCTTGTAGCCTACAGTGTCATATTATAGAAAAATAAAAGATTTTACAAGTACAGGATTCTTAAAGTAGTGAGTCACAGTATTTCTGTAAACCCACTTTGTTCCAAGGAGAATAGATAATATGTGTGTTCTGGCTGCCAGACGTTTCCTTTGATCTTACAAATAAAACACAAGAGTATCTGCAAATAACCACATCAAAGTGAACTTTGGATGTCATATAAAAAGCTATTTCCACATGGCACAGCACATAAAGGTTTAGTGTTAATTGAATGATCACATGCATAGCACCAGGGAAGAGGTTCCAGTTCTCCACTACCATGAGTTTGAGGGGAATCTTGCAGGTATGAAATTCACATTCCCTGTGAAAGTATTTGCAAGATTTGCAGAGGTTTTTTTTTACATCTATAATGTACTACATGGCCTTAGAAGGCTTAGACGAACCAATAAGGGGGCTTTCAAGTAAGCCAACCTCCTCAATTTAAAAGGGGAGCGTAGAGCAGTAATAGTCTGTATATTGGAATCTGCGATAGAGAAAAGAAAAAAATTAACCCTTGCAGTGGGGCTAACGGACTGCATTATAAATGATGATGTCAGTGGGGCTTAAACTGCTACACCCTGGTGGGGTGAAAAGGTTGAAGGGACCGGTCTAGCTTCCAGGTGGGACCATGGATCAGGTGACGATATAGTTTTTTTTATTTGAGCCCCTAGACCAAAATGGGCAGTTAACCCTTGCAGTGCGGGGGGTAGACCCACTGAAAGGGTTATTTTTTCAGATTCCTGGATTCCTTTTTCATTCTGATTGCTAGTTCCTTGGGCAAGTAACCCCTTTGCTGCTATTTTGTTCCTATTATTGAAGGGTTTAAACTTTTATTTTGTGTTTGATTTGAAGTGAGATTTTATCCTCTGTCCTGACTACAGTAGGACAATAATAGTTTTTTTGCAGCAAAGCCTACCTTATAAAAAGTCGGCTTTTGTTTCAGGGGGAATTTTTTAGGTTAAACTTCTTTTTTGCCACAAGGCTTCCCGTTTAAAAAGTGAGCTTTTCATTTAGGGGTGGTATTTTGGGGTTTTCATATCTTTTGGGCATTTTTTTATTTTATATTTACAGAGACATTTTTTGTTTCATTAAGGGCAGTATTCACTTGTTAATGATCATCTGTTGCTGGACCAGCCTTTTGTTAGCAGTTTTCCATGCTGCATCGTTTAAAAATAAATAAATAAAACTAACTGCCGGAAAACTGTGCACCTAAACCCCCTCTACCAAAGTAAAAATAAAGTTAGGCACACAGTGGTTAGGCCTTGTGATTTTATAGTAAAACCCCTGCCTGTGCTCTTTCTCTTTAGTGAATTTGGGTCTAGCTTTGCTCATTAAAACTGTCCTCTGCTGGTCACTGTGTCATCTGCAGTTTTCTAATTCCAGTAGTAAAACACCTGCCTGTACTCTTTGCCTTAGTACATTTCAGCCAATTCTCTCTGATTAAAAATGTCCTGCTTCTGGCCAATTTTACATTGCTGCATTATCTGCAATGTCTTCTCCATGAGATTTTTATAGAAATTGGCCAGGGCAGGATAGTTTTAAATCAGTCACAGTTCACAGTTCCCTAACAAGCATACTACCTTCCTCCCACTCACCTCACATTCCCCATCAGGTCTCACTTCCCTCCCACCTCCCTCCTGGAAACACGGTAGTCACAGTGATTTCCTCCTATTTTACCTCCCCCCATCCACCTCATCTCCCTTGCCCGTGCTGATCACAGCATCTCCCACCCACCTCACCCCCCTGCTCACAGTGCCTTCCTCCCATCCATCTCACCAACCCCACATCACAGCATCTTCCTTCTGTCTCACCCTTTCAGTCACACCAACTCCTTAACCACCTGCCCCACATCTCTGCCTGACCACCCAACCCCTGCTCTCTCTCTGACCATCTCACCTTCACTTGAAGCTCATTCCACCCTGGGTACTTTGCCCCCAGGATCAATGAAAATACTCACATCCCTCTTGACTCTTCAGTCACAGCACATTTCTCTGGCCGACTCCCTCCCTCAGTTCACAATGCATCCTGCATTAGCCACCTCACATCCCTTGTTCACATTGCATCCCTCTTCACCCACCTCTGCCCCTATCACAATGATCCCTCCACTGACCTCATCCCCAACCACAGTACATTCCTCTCTGCATCCACCATTTACCCTCTGCTCACTGCACATTCTTCCCAGTATCCAGCATAAACTCCCTGCTGACAGCCACCATTCCACCATCATGACCACATATTCAATCCATCAGTGCAAAGGACTCCTCTGCTCTACAAGTGTTCCCTCTGCTACCTTAGTCTCCCGCCACCTGCATACTACACCTGCATACTACAGTCCACTCTAACATTCATCTCTGCTCCACAAACTTACCTGCTCTAGAATGGCCACACATTTGCTGTTTCCATATAATTACCTGTGAATTTAGAGACTGTGTCATGGCACTCATCCTGACTTCTGTCACCATATGAACTGTACCGGATAGCCAAATCTGAAGTCAGCAGATCACCTACAAAAATAAATGAGAAATAAGCGTTTGTGTAAGTGTAAGTATATATCTATATATATATATATATGTGTGTGTGTATATATATATATATATACATATATATATATATACATACACATACATGTGAATGTTATGACCTCAGGGGGCAAGGGGTCAGGTTTTTATGACTATAGAAAAGGGTGCATGGTGTCATAGGTGCAGATGGGTGAATGTGGATATAATTAATACAAAGTAGGCTGATTGACATCACTATGGGCCTGTCTGACAAAAATATAGTGATGACATCATATTGTACCTGCACAACTGATATGTACTCCCTTATTTCTAAATAGAAGACTCTAGTGCATACAAATAAACCAAAATATCTACTGTACAGTTACAATCTATATGTGACAATCTCTTTCTCTTTTACCAAAGTAACAACTTTTTACATATTAGTACCATACTAACACTGCTATATACCAAAACATGATTCGGTTACTCTGCATATTATGACATCTTTTTCTATATTGCATACTGTTGACATATACTTGCACATTGAGACTAATTTACTAAAGGAGTTGAGAATCTTCACACAATAAATTGTATCAATATTCACTGCAATTATCCAATCATGCGATAAGCAAATTCTTGTTTACTTATTTCATCAGCACATGATCGTGCAATTAAAGTTAATAATAACACAATTTATTGTGTAAGGATTCTCTCCTTTAGTAAATCAACCCAGGAGGCTACCACATGCCACTTTACAGTATTCACACTTTTCACCAGTGGATAGATGGAAACATTTGTTCACCAGAAGAAACATAGAGCATGGTAGACAATAGGAGCCAAAGCCATTGATGAACATCCACAGACTTTAAAGACATGCACTGACTGACAGCTATAGAATGACAGATGGACGGATATCAATCGTACGGGACCAATGTTCCTGCATATGATTGTAAACATGTACAAATTAAATTCTACCCACTTTGAGACAAAATATCCCCTAAAGCCTTGGAAAATTATGAGTGGAAGTAGGAGTTGCGTAATTTACAAAAAAGGTGTTCAAATTGAAGTATAATGTGATAATCTGTCATATATCATTTGCAGGAATTGTCAGAGATGTAAATAGAGGGATAAATTAAAAGTTCAGCAAAGCAATGATGAAGAAAAAGGTCAAATCAACCTAATGAACTGGTTGTTTGGTAACAGGGAGATTAGGCAGGGAGAAGAATCTGATGGTATGATAACCACATCTAATAGGGTGTATATCATTATCATAGAACCATTTGTATTCTCCCATGCACAATCCTGAAGTCTTAACCATATTATGAATATTCATATCCTTCAGATTTAGATGTTTGTGGGCCCGTTCACACCAGAGGCATTGGGGATACGCTGGCCTCCTTTTCCAGGGCACAGACCAGGACATTTGTTACAGTGGTGTGCTCTGCATGCAGTATTTTTCTTAGCGCAGCATGGTCTGCATCACGCTGTGCCAATAGTATTTCATGAAATGTCACTCATGATATTTCAATAAAGTTCTTATTAAAAAAAAATAAAAAAGGAAAGCATACCCATTAGCACACACCAGCAGCCGTGTGTTAAGCACAGTCTGCTGGTGCGAATGGGCCCTAAAGGATACTTGCGCTTTTCAGATGCATTTCCTATATGAGCCCAGGCCTAACTTGTAAGGAAGAATAAAAGCAAAGCATAACCTTATCATAACTAATCTAAGAAAGTCATGTTCACTAGCCCTTAATGTGTTAATGAGCCCAAGCTAGTCAATAAGTTGGCTTTTATGGTGTGAGGGTATCATTTTACCTGACCAAGGTTTGCCATCAAAGTGCGAGTCTCTGCTGCCACTGTCTTCACCTTGTTGGGCTTGTTCACTGTCTGTTGTATCTGTTGCACCTATAAAAATAATTAACATTAAACAAAATCCATTGCAATGTCTGTGTTTGCTGCTAACAGATCCATGGCCAATCGGCCTTATGGATACAGCAGTATTATGGCTTTCATACACACTTTTCATATGATGGAGTCGAGTCCTGGAAATTATATTGGTATCAGACTCGTACATTTAAGAAAAAAAGCAGCTAAATGAGCAAATCAGTTGTACTGCAGTGCAAGCAGCATGATGATAGGAAAATAGAGCAGAGTGGCAGACAGTCTGTAGCACAGTCGGTCACAGGCTGTGGGTGGCAAGAAGACCTGTAAGTGTTGAATAAAATGCAGCAGAGACAAGGCTGTGCTGTGTGGCTGCGTTGTGTAAATCTCAGGGCTGGATAGATAGAAATCAATTGGCAGGTAAGACAGCTCTCCTATATGTATTTAATCTGTATATTTAGCTGTTTGTTACGTTCATGTTTAGGAGATCATTTCTGATTGGGTGCTGTGGATTACTGCCACTTGCATAATCTTATTGCTTTTTTGTGCTGCCTTATTAAAAAAAAGAACTATACTCACCTCCCGCCAGTGATACGACATCCATGAGCCCCCTTGCCAATGCCGACATCTTAACCTGGTCTTCTTCTGGGTTCAGGATCTTTAGCCATGTTGATGGCTTTGCCGGAATTATGTGAGTACCATGCATGTGCTGAAGTTCATTCATCCCGGCATGTACTAAAATTGTACACTGAGCTGTGCATGCTTAGCTCAGTGCACATTGTCAATAAGGAGGTCAACAGGAAGGAAAGAGTCCTTAGGGCAGAAGAGACATTGGGCTGATTTATAAAGGGTTCACCCAGCTATACACATGGCATCACTGTGGCTAGATGGAGCCAAGGAGAAATAGAATTCCTATGCTTGTTGGCTCTTGCCACTAGATGGAGTCGAGGGACAAAGGAATTCCTATGCTCATTGGCTCCATTTAGCTGCAGTAAATATGCTGGGCAAACCCTTTATAAAATCAGCCCCTTGGCATATCTCTTCTGCAATAAAATGCCTGCCTGATTGTCATTTTTTCCATTTTTACTTAAAGGGTTATTAAACCCTCCGTTTTGTTTGCATATATCTACTGCTAGCAAGCAGTAGATATATGCAAAAAGTGTAAAAAAAAAACAAAAAAACCCAGCTTTGAAAAGGGTTAATACTTACCTGTGTCCTCACCGCGTGCTCCCATCCGAAAATATGAAAATCCTCGGGTGGCTGCAAAGCATCTTGGGGCGTGCACATGCGCAGTTCACATTTTCGGCCGGGACGCGAGGAGGGACACAAGGTAAGTCTATGGACACGTGCACCCGCATGCAGACACCGTGGGACAGGAAGTGCCAGCAAGCTCAGAGGAGTCGGCGCTGGATCGGAGATCCGCTGCAGCGCTGGATGGACAGATGAAAAGGACAGGAAAGAAGATCGGATTAAGAAACATAATTTAAGGTAAGTGCTTTAATTAACATTGGGGGGATGGAAAAAGATTTTTGACTTTAATATTTCACTTTAATATTTCACTTTAATTCATGTGACATATGTTAGTGCTGTTCCTTTCACATCAGTTTTTCCTAAAGAGAGAAATACTGAGTGAATGGTCAACCTTCTGACTATGACCAAACATTTTGCTATCTCCTAGTGTTTTATCCCACCTTCTCCTGCATCCTCTGCACTTTTTTTCAGGTCTTCCACGACAGGTACAGACTCAGTTGTTATAATGAAGGTTGCAGTAGTGTCCTCTTCTCCTTTCTCTTCTGTTGGGTTAACTCCTTCCTGAAAATCAACCCAGAAGTCTGTTGGATCCATTTCTCCTATTTCAATTACTGGCCCTGAAATAAAAAAGTATCCATACTTAAGTAAAGAAACACTTGCATATACTGTATACATACATACATACATACATACATACACAGATAAGATAGGAAAAAATGGTAATTTTAATGCTTAGAATATTACTATTCGGTTGTCTAATATTTATCTTGATCTATGTAAAATACATTGTATTGTTTTCCAGCTTATGATTGGCGTGTTGGTTTTTTATTGGCGCTCAGTTTGTGATTTTCACCACCAAAAAGCTACCCGTGACCTATCTTCACCTATACATGTTTGCCATTATTTTACTGATATTTTTGCTTCACACAAAATATTAAACTTAAAATAATTCATCACATTATTAGTGTTATTATCTTCTAAGTATCTGACAGCATTACTGAATCAGACCATTGCCTTGTGGATCCTGACAAATCTTTATGGATAGAAAGTAAACAGTATCTCACATTGCCGGGGGTTTCGTGGCTGCCACTCCTCTCCCTCAGTGCTTATTCTGTCATAGACTATTTCCAGAAGGGCCAGGACCCGCTGTCTATCGAGGAAACCAACCTGGAACAAAAGTACATAACATAAAACCAAATAACTGGAGTTTATTTTATAGTTACACAGTAGTAATACAAAAAGCAGTTCTGGCATTCAGGATGAGTGTATGCGGAAGTATAAGGATGGTTGTATTGTGTGGACAGTGTACAGAGGTGTATGGGATGACAAAATGTGTTTTTTTTATTTTGGGTGCTAAAAGGTCTGAGCAAAACTGCTCCAGGCTGGTACATACTTTAAGTTGGCTTGGCCTTTAGTGTGTGTTTTTTAATTTCATATGACTGTTACATATGGTATGGAGCAGCCTTTCACCTCCAAGGTAACCACTACCACCAATGATCTTGTTATCTATCTGTAAGAGGGGCATTCTTCCCACTAACCACCAAAGTAAGCTGAATTCGTCTCACTGACCACCAATGTAAGCAAAATTCTTCTTACTGACCATCAATGTAAGGAACATTCTACTAACTGATTACCAATATAAGGAACATTCTACTAACTGATTATCAATATAAGAAACATTCTTCCAACTGATCACCAATGTAAGGAACATTCTTCCAACCGATTACCAATATAAGGACCATTCTTCCAAATGACCACCAATGTAAGCAGAATTCTTCCCACTGACCACCAATGTAAGGAACATTCTTCCAACTGATTACTAATATAAGGACCATTCTTCTAAATAACCACAAATGTAAAGACCATTCTTCCTATTGACCACCATTATAATGGGTTCCTTCTCTCACTGACTCTCCCAATGACCACCAATGTAAAGAGCATTCTTCCCACTGACCAAGAATATAAGGCGCATTTTTCCCACTGACCCACAATGTAAGAAACATTCTTCCTACTCACCACCATTATAATGGGTTCCTTCTCTCACTGACTCTCCCAATGACCACCAATGTAGGGGGCCTTTCTCCTATTGATCGCCAGTCTAGGAGGACCCTTCTCCATTAACCCCCATTGTAAGAAGACATTTCCCTGACCACCAAAAGGGGCATCTTTTACATTCAACCATCAAAGTAAGTGAGCATTTCTTTACTGACCACAAATGTCAGGCAACACTACAATGTTCACTGCCTGCATTAATTTTCTGGCCTTCATTAATATTTGTTCCATTACATTATGATCAATTAAAATATTTTTTACATATAGAGAAGCCCTGGGTATCAAATACACTGAGTATGCCACATCATTTATTCTTTATTTTATATTGTAACTTATAACTGAATTGGGAGGCAATCCCCCCTTCCTCCAGAATATTAAAGTATACCTAAGCCCAAAACATTTTTTGTACCGTAGTTTTAGGTGGAATGAGGAAAACTTAGAACCGCTCTTGTGTTTTTATTGTTGTTTGTGTCCCTGCTGGGAAGATTCATCAACTCTCTATCTGTCCTGGAGAACATTGTATTCAGGACAGCTAATGATCGGAAACCCAAAAACTTTGCAGCTGTCACCGGAAAAGGGAGTGAGGGGAAATCTTCTGCTGGGAACAACTGCCCAAGGGGGGATTTATCCTAACTTTGGAGAGCTTACACTGTTTCTGGGATGGGAAGTGAATGTAAACAACAAAAAAACTGGCATGGGTAAACAACAAAAAAAATGTGGGTTTAGAAATGCTTCTAAGCTGAACTTTGGCAGCTATTTCACCTGCTGTGGCAGGGCAGGAAACCTGTTTTTTCTTTGCTGCAAGTAACACTTTTTGGGCTTGTCTCTCCCACACCCTGTGACTGCACAGAGAAAGGAGAAGCAGCAAAATAGTCAGCTCATCTCTCTGCTATTTTGCTCTCTCCTCCTATCAACATGATCCGTGCTCTGTAACACAACTAACTGACTCCTTGTGCTGCTCCCCCCATCTGGACTCTGCTGTAACTACAAGAGGCTGATACCAAGCCAAATTCAGGTACTAACACTGCTTACATTTAGGAAAATACATTTAGGGGTATTAATGAAAAGAAAGCTCCATTCATTTGTGTCTTTTTATTTGCCTGGAATTCACCTTTAATTGTATGTGAATTACACATTTCAGTTTAAAATCTAATATTTTGTAGTTCTTTTCCTGAACCCATTATCTGCTTGCCATAGCCATTAAGGCAGTCAGAGTGCGTGTGCATAATTGATTCAAATTACTAACTAAAATAATGATTCGTGAAGAAAAAGCTTGCAATGATTCAATAATTAAATAACACTCAAAAACCCAGAAAAATCTATTCTAGCCTAGCATTTGATGAGAAATGATTGTAAAATAAAGTAACAAACATAGAATGCAGCTTAGAAATTAGACCCTTTCTGTGTTATTGTAGATAAATAGCGCTACTGGTTCTCATTTCCAAAAAATAATACTAAATATTGATGTTCAGCAGACTATGAGCTACACGATGAATGTCCTAATCACTCTTACATGGCAATAAGATCTCAATGTCAGGCGTGGCTCTTTTCATAGGGTGTAATAAGGATGGATGCCAGTGACTTTAGCAAGTTTAATATAGAAACTGCTTCATTGCACAGGGCAATATAGGAAGGAGGGTGAGGTTTAAATTGGGATATCCCCAGACGTAGTTGATCTCATGCCTCAGACTAGGCCTTAAGGTGGCCATACACGGTGCAAAGTTCGGCCGGTTCTTGATGAACTGATCAGCTGATCGAAGAAGCCGGTTGGAAAATCTTCGCACAAACAGAGTGGGCAGGCAATAACCTGCTGGCTCTGTTTGGGTATTCTGACAGTGGCCGGCGGCTGCTATCATAATACAATAAGGACAGCAGGAGATTCCTCCCTCAACGCTTACCAGTGTTGTTGGAGAAATTTGTTCTATTTTTTTCATTCAGCCTGCGGGTCGAACCAAAAAAAAAAAAAGAACAGAGTATGGCCAGCTTAATTCTCTTCTAAATCTCTCAAAGTCCCTCTCTATATATTCTAAACACAGACTATGCTGTCTGGACTATTGCAGAGCTCTGACTTCCTGGCAATTGACGTTCAAGTGGTATCTCAATCTTTATATTTTAAGGCAGGCCAACATGGAAAGGTTCCTGTGTATACTTCCCAGTTTCCACTCAAATATCTCCATATGTGGGAGACAGCCACAGTTTGTTTCCTTACACTGTTTTCTCTAGCAGCCATCTCCAGAAATACCTCCCAGGAGGAGGGATTCATGCATTCTTCCATCCCTATCTTCTATTGGTGACATCCTCATAGGGCAAAAGTTATTGCGGGAAGAAACAGAACAGGAACTTCCCCAGATGTTTAACAGTTCTCCCAGCATACATCACCAGGCCCCCCAAGCCTGCTGACTAGGCCATCAGACATCTTAACACATCCATAATACCTCTTTAGCACATCCTGCTGGAACAAGCTCAAACAACAAAATACACTCTACACTTAGATGTCACTCCTGCTGAGGTACAGATAGGTTGATTGCAGCCCACTTGTGAGTGCATGATGTTATGGCAGATATGCCAGCCACTTAGCAGATGAGCTTTACTTATGCATTTCGTTGCTAAAAAATTGCATGGAACCTACTCATTAGGAGATATTAAACTTGAGGAATCAGTGATAGAAAAAGATTTGTGGGTACTCATAGACCACATAGTTAGCAATAGCATACAATACCAGGTCGCAGTGAACACAGCAAGCAGCATACTGTCATGCATAAAAAAAAATGATTTTGGCCATCTAAGTATGCTGTACAGTGCTGGTCATCAATCAACAAGAAGGATGTCCTTGAATTAGAGAAAAAGAGTTCAGCAAAGAGCAACAAAATGAATAAGGGGTCTGGATGACCTCAGCTAATAGGAGCAATTTATTAAATTACACGTATTCACCTTAGAGAAGAGGCGTTTAAAAGGAGACATAATTGCTAACTACAAATCAATCATGGTGACTGTAGTGATGGAAACAAACTTTAATCTAAGTCCCTGATGAGGAAATGCAGCCACATCTTGAGGTTGGAGCAAAGGGGGTTTATTCTGATATTGCCCAGGGAGTTCTTTATTGTTAGAGCAGAAAAATATTGAACTCCTTTACGCAGGTAGTGATATCAGCTGGAAGTGTTGACAGCTTAAAAAAACTTCTTGATGCCCTTTTCAATGGGCCCAATATACAAGTGTATGTATATTCTTAGAAGACTCAATCTGACACTCACACGCATAGGTTGGACTCGATGGACCTGTGTCTTTTTCCAAACTTATCTACTGGGTAACGATGGAACTATGTTCTTTGCTGTGTAATTGTGTAAATGGCAGTGAGGGCTAAGACACTAAGGAGACCTTTCTCTGTCTATTCTATGTGATTCTATGGGATAATAAAGCTTGCTTTTATCACTATGGAGAAGCAGTAGACTGATAAGCTCATCTCGCCCTTACTCAGCTGTCTCATCAAATCACCATGTTCCTTGTTAGCACAAGAACTCATTGGATTTCTCTGCTGATTTTACCTCTCCCAGTCTAAGCTCTGCTGCATAAGGTATGGAAATAAGGTGATACCAAGACAAATTCAAGTACTTACATTGCTTGAAATAAAAAATATGTATGGTGTATTAATGAATGCAGAGCTGTATTAATCTGTGTCTTTTATTTTTCCCTTGGATTGTAAGCTCCCACGAGTAGGGCCCTGCTAACCATCTTGACTTGAATTGTATTGCAACTCAACTGCTATGTCTTCCTTACATTGTAAAGCGTTGATCCAACTGTTGGCGCTATATAAATCCTGTATGATAATAATATAATAATATAATTTGTTCTCAGCTTTAAGCGAGAAAAGCAAGAACAAAATCAGAAGCGTACAGGCTACAACAGACAAAAAGCAAACCAAGTCTGTGATAACATCTATTTAATTTATACAATGAAACTGCCCACCAAGTCATTATGGTCTTTCATATACCTAATTCCATCCAATATTTTAAACTACAGTAAAAGGAAATATGTTAGAATGGACCAACCTTTCCGGCATCACACGCAAGAAAGAGTTCAGAAAACCTCTGCCTCCATATATCAAGGCGGATTGTCTCACGGAACATGTCCGCACATTGCGCCATGTGATGCAGAAATTCCAGAAAGAAGTTTGTGCTGATGTGACTGATGAATGGATATGCATACTGAAAGGGAACATATAAAACATTTGTCAGCAGATTTTATTAATTGATAAGTATGTTTTACAAAGCAATCCAAAATACACACACTATATACGTCAGGATCAATCCAGGATTTAACAGGAACAAATTAATGTTAAAGTGACACTGTCCTTCCTTCTGGAGGGTGGCTACTTTTGTTCCCCATGGTCCCTGTGTGTTGTAAACTAGCCACCACTCCAAGCTCGCTCCTGTGATGGGCTACAATCTCACATTTAAATTATTAATTTGTATTGAGGTTGTAGTCCATCAGAGGAGCAAGCTTGGAGTGGTGGCTACTTTCCAACATACACAGGGAAACATGGGGAACAAAAGTAGCCACCCTCCAGAAGGAAGGGCAGTGTCAGCACCAATTCAGAGATGATTGGAGGATCTACAACCGAGTGATACACAAATAAGATACGTTTTTGTTAATAGTTAAGGTACTTGAATGTATTTTTAAGATTTAACTCCTGAGTTCAGTGTCACCTTAAATACAACTAATTTATAGTGTGACTACAAAGTCTACAAATATAAATTACAAATAATTTGTGTTCCGGTACTTGCCACTCTGTCAAGCCGTGTCTGTGCTCACTCTTCCATATAGCAGCTTACAAAGATCGAGTTTTTGTTGCATTATAGAAAGTAAGGGGGGGGGGGGGTTCCTCTCCTATTTAAAATAGGATTTCAAAACAGTAATTTTCAAAAATCAGAATTTGGGTATGTATTGTGGTCATTTTAGACACACACTGTGCTTACAGCAGTTCCCAAATCTAAACTTGCTTTTAGCAGCAGAGGCAGCTATTTGTAAGGTTAAACTCGTCCTAGATACAGACAAAAGTTGACCTTAATGTGAATGTAAAGGCTAGGGATGGGTTATGGGATGGGTTAGAGCCCTTGTTAGATATCAATTGCGCTATGTGTCCCTGATGGGGAAATTCCTTCTCTGTTTGTCCTGGTAAACACTGTTAGTGTGTGGAAATCCCAAATTTTACAGTTGTCTCAAGAACAAGAGGTGGGGGTAAAACTGGCCATACACTATATCTGTGTGTTAAACAAGTAAAAACACTTGGTTCCCCCAACCACACTAAACAACAGGGATTGGGGAATTCCCCTACTGTGCTATTGTATAATGCTGCTGTCAGAATAGCTGAACAGCCTGTCCGGCCGAGAATTTTCGGACAAGCTCCTTTAACAAAAGTTGATTGCAAAATTGACTTTTGTCGAACAGAATGGCTCTCACAATGCCACTCTAGCAATGGCTACACACTATTAGAATTTTGTCTAAGTAAGCAAAACTCTATTGGGAATAATTGTTCCTTTAACCACTGTCTAAGAGGGGAGTTTGCCTTAGTTTAGTGGGATTTCTTCTCACGTCCTGTTGTTTCTCCACTATAGGAGTTTAAAAAAAAAAACTCCAAAAAACTTCCCAACGGGACACAGATAGTAAAAAATAAATTGACAGGGCTTATAACTCTGCCCTACCCAATGGACAAAACAAAGCAAAGTTTTTTTATACATACGGAATACTTTAATATCAGGTTATGAGATGAGATCCTATAGGTTGAACTTGATGGACTAATGTCTTTATTCAACCTCAAATACTATGTAACTATGTAACTATGTTATGCGTAGTACCAAGGGCAGTAACCTATAGTAGCCTACAATGACACATGTCTAAAATATTCTTACTATAGTAAAGTCTGATTACTATGGGTTACTGGATGTAACTCCTCACTGCTTTATACAGTGGTACCTCGGTTCACTAATTGTTCGTGAACAGGAAGTTTGGCAACATTTTGCTTCCGTTCGCGAACTCCGCATCGGATGACGAACACAACCGCAACCATCTTCCCTGCTCTGACACGTGGTTGTGGCTTCCTCTAGCAGAGATCGCGGTCTGATCACTGTTTGATTCGGTTCACGACCAATTTGATTTACGTCCAGAATCGTGGAATGAATTAAGTTCGTGAACCGAGGTACCACTGTATTTCCAAACTAAATAGGCATTAAATAAGTCTGAGCTACATATTGGAATCAGAGGTTATAAAAAAAACAATATATTGTAGTAAAAAGCATGCCGGATGTTAAAACTGGAGAAAAAAATGAACACAGAACAAAGCAGACAACAAAATAACTTTTTGCTTTCAGGAAAAATGATGAATGGACAATAATTCCACTTTTCAGCTCATTTTTGTTTCTCCAGTTTTAATGAACCAGAGTGTGCAACATTGGTGCTTGGGAAAAAGGGACAGGGTCGAATCTGGCGGGTCACAAGTTCATGTGTGGAAGCTAAACAATATGATTCATATAAAAAAGATGTACAGAACAGTAATGTACTTTGGACATAAAAATAAACAAATGGGCTATACAATCATGGGTATGCCGCTAGGGAAGTCAGAAATAGAAAAAGATTTGGAGGTCATTGTAGACCACAAACTGAATGGTAGCTTGCAGTGCCAAGCTGCGGTAAACAAAGCTAGCAGGGTCTTGCCCTGTATTAAGAAGGGGATGTGTTGCAGGGACAAGTCTATAATTGGGCCACTTTATAGATCATTGGTTCGGCCACATCTGGAGTACGCGGTCCAGTTTTGGTCGCCGGTACTGAGAAGGGATGTCCTTGAACTGGAGAGAGTCCAGCGGAGGGCAACAAAACTAATTAGGGGAATGGAGGACCAAAGCTACGAGACAAGGCTACTGACCTTAAACATGTTTACGCTGGAAGTAAGGAGATTAAGGGGGATATGATTTTCATGTACAAGATGTTCAATGGTGACAGCAACATTGGCAACAAACTGTTTGAGATTAACTCCATTACAAAGACTAGAGGCAACCACCTACCATTGGTGGAGAAAAAATTCCAGCACAAGGGGCGAAGGGGGTTGTTCACAGTAAGAGCGGTTAGGGTCTGGAACTCACTGCCACCAGCAGTGATTTCAGCCAAGAGTGTAGATTTGTTCAAGAAACGTTTGGACGATTTCTTGAGGGACCGTAATATACAGGGATACCAGTATTCCTAAGAATGAGATGATGCGCGGACCTATATGGGTTGGACTTGATGGACATATGTCTTTATTCAACCCCAAATACTATGTAACTATGTAACATGCTAACAAGTGGAAATTGGTAGACATTTTACTGTATAAATAACTAAAATACATTCAATAATTAGGTGTTAGGAAAAAAATAGTTTTAACCTCTATAAACTCTTCTTTATTAAGCTTCTGTTCCAGAGAGTCCACTGTCTTCAGCTCTTTGATCTCTGACAAACAAGATAAATTCCATTAGAAATATCGCTAATTATGTAATTCTTATAAAACATTATTCTGCATACTTCACGGCTCCTTTTACACCCGTGCAGTGCATTACCGCACACGTATTTACATGCTTTATGTTAAAGAAAAACTCCAGGAATTTAACAAAAACTTACCCCTGCAGTGGGGCTACCCATGCTCTGCAAGGAATAAGTGCTCATTTTGTCTGGGGGGCTCAAATAAATCAGATATACTCACATGATCCTCAGGCCCGCAGCGGTCAGTGCTCACCTCTCTCCCCCTCCACTCTGGCTGTGGAATGTCCCTCAGCGTCCTCATGTCTAATGCAAGTCAATGGACCTGCATAAGACGTGATGACATCAGTGGTCCTTAGACTCCTGGAGCCCAGGGAAGAAGAGACTGTGAGGACCTGGTGGGACCGAAGATCAAATTAATATATGCTTTATTTGAGCCTCGTAGACAAAATTAGCACTTACCCCTTGCAGTGCAGGTGTAGTTTTTTAAATTCCCTGAGTTCTTCTTCAAGAAAGTCTATTTTTTTTAATAGGTTGCCAACATACCTGAAATGAGACAAGGACCATTTTTAGGGCACCACACCACAACACATGGCTAATTTACTCCAGTGTACTGTGGTGTGCAAGTGCATTGGAACAGCAATTCAAAACAAATGACACTGCACTGTGGTTCATTCATTGCAATGCACTGCGGTAACGCACAGTAAATCTCACCCTTCCCGTATGTTACTGCAATGCAAATTTCTGAAGCTAGCTTGAAAGAAATTGCAAGTTAAAAGAGGAAAGATTTCTAAACATTCACTCAAATCTACCCAAAGATGATAATGGCAAAATGTCTGCAATCAGATCCTAACAAAGTATAACTAAAGGCAAAACTTTCTTTCTTAGCTGTGGATAAAGTGGTGAGTGGTTATAACCACTCTCCAGTTTTTCTTGCTGTCTGTGTTCTTGTTGGGAGCTTTACTCTCTCTAATTGTCCTGATCGCCAGTGTCAGTGTCCCAACACCGGGAATGGAAGTGAGGGTTACCCACCACCACAACAGGAATAGAGGGAAAATCTTCTAGTGGGGACACTTAAAGTGACACTAAACTCAGGAGTTAAAGGAGAACTATGGGGTCAGTGCTTTTCCCCATAGTTCTCCTAAGGGTAACGGGAGGACACAAACTAGCGTCCTCCCGTTACCCTAAGCTCAGTATACCGCGAGCTACAGCGCACGATATACTGAGACGCCGCAGCCGGAACGTATCCCGACAATTCTGTCTGGATCCACCCCGCTGCGTGAGTGACAGGTGGCTCTGCCTATCTAGAGGCAGAGCCAGTGGTACCCGCCCCCTCCCCGTCCGTTCCGCCAGTCAGCGCTGGAGGATCGGACAGGGGAGGGGGGGAATCCCTGCAGGGAGCCGTGAGTGACAGTCACGGCTCTCTGAAGGGACAGGATCGAGAAGTGAGCGAGCTACGGTATGTGTTCGCTCACTTCCTGATCTATTGAGCCGACCTGAGACAGTTTCATTGTCACAGGTCAGCTAGAACTATGAGGATGAGTGATTTTCACTCGCCTCATAGTTCTCCTTTAAATCTCAAGAATGCATTCAAGTGACTTAACTATTAACAAAAATGTATCTTATTTATGCATCACTCACTGTTCTTCCTTCTGGAGGCTGGCTGGCTTTTGGTCCCTTTGTGCTTGGTAAAGTAGTCACTGCTCCAAATTTGCTCCCGTGATGGACTACAATCTCACATATAGTGTAGTTTACTAATTTGTATTGATATTGTAGTCTATCATGGGAGTGAGCTTGGAGCGGTGGCTATAGGGGTGCGGAAATTAACGATTAATCCGTTGATTAATCGTTAATTTCTTTGATCGATCAAAATTATTTTGATCGATCAAAGTTCTTTTGATCCGTACTCACCTCTCCGCCGGCTTCCGGGTCTTCCGTCGGAGATCCGGTGACGTCACGGACATCGACGTCACCGGACTCCTCCCCCCCCTCCCCCGGTGGGC